CATCAAGGTGTGGACGTGTTGGGCTTGAGTGATCCCGATCTTGGCCATCGTCCGGGCGTACCGAGTGTGCCATCTTGTGGTCTTCTCTATGTAACTACAGCTATCTACCGGGAGAAACTGGTTGGACCAAAGCGGTTGTTCGTGGACCAGCGGCGATGGCGCCGGTAGCGTGCTCGGCCCCACGCGAATGTCGAACCAGTACTTGAGCATGAACTGGAACCGGTCGGGCACTGCCTTCGACGTAAGCAGGCGCCGGATCCGAGGGAGCAACGGTTCGGAGGACTCTGTTATTGGCGACGGAGAATACAATACCAACCACTAGATCCGTGATTTGGATACGTGTCATTCTCAACACACCTCGACGCAAAAGTAAGTTATTTGATGCTGCGCCCGTTGGACGCGTAAATGGTCGAACGACTTACTACCTGGAGATCGATGTTGTAGCTCAATTCCTATCATGTCTTATGGACCACCCCTCTCGGTGTTTGCTACAAGTATGCATCTCTAAAAACCACCGATTATCTCTAAAACATCGATTACCTGAGGTGAAAATAGAAAAATGAAAAGAAAGCCACAATACCTGTTGTGAAGAAAGCACGGCTGCTGCCGGGGCCGCTTTTCGTTGACAGCCAATCGTTCTTGTTTGATGCGCCGATAATGTAGGTCGTTGAAGCTATAAAGTCCATCACTCGATCCGCCACTATCTGGTGTGGTGTGTAACGCACCGGAATGTCCCCAGGTCCAACACAGACATCAACAGCATCTAGGCTGCAAATGGCGACTCTCGGTATCAACCCCATGACTCTCTATACTACGAGTAGATTCATCGTATGAGCACGCAACGACTTTGGTAAGACCTTGACGTAGCTCCGTCAGAGACCAAGGAATAGACCGAGAGAAATAGTTGGAACACGTGCAATGCTTCGAGCACACGTGGCATTACGTACAACGCCATCTGCGTCCAAGCGCTAGAGACGTTGCCGATGCAGTGTCTTTTGCTTGATTTTGGGAATCGCCGATAACCAAAACCGAGGTGGTTCATTTGTGTTTTTGCATGACAGACCTTCTCGCGCGCATCGATGGTCTCGACGAGCCCCTCTATACGCTCATCTTGGACTTTGCGGGGCCGCTCTCGCTCTACCTCTTACGCCGCGGCGAGTGGAGAGGCAACTTTAGCCACCGCGACGACGACATCGAAGCCGTGTACGCCGACGCGTACGCGATGAACTGGCAGGGCGACCTCGCGACGCTGCCCGAAGGCGGCCCGCGTCGGTGGCGCGACCGCACGAGCCGGTCGTTCGAGTCCATTTCGACGCCCGAGATGTACGAGCGGTATCGAGCGCTCACCTACTGTCGCGCCACGTGCCCGTTTGGCTTTCGGAATGCGTACGACGACGACACGCCGGCACGCGACGACGACGATGACAACGACGATACGGGCGTCTTGACCATCCCACCCGACACACTTGACGAAGTCGGCTTGCGCAACCTCTGGTACGACGCAGTCGTGCTGTTCTTGGACCGTCCGATTGCGCTCGCCCACGCGGCGGCGTACGGCGGCCACGCGAATCTCCTCTTTACCTTGGAACAAGACTATGGCGTCGACCTCGCGCGCCTTCGCTCGACGCCCGACGGGAAAAAATACCTCTTGGACTACGCGGCGGGTCGCGGGTACCTTGACGTGGTCATGTTTCTCACGCGCGCCGGCAACCCGTATTGCACGACGGACGCCATGGACGATGCGATTGCCAACGGCCACGTCAAGACCGTCCGGTGGCTCCACTACGCGCGCAACGAAGGCTGCTCGACCAAGGGCCTCGACAAGGCGTACTACCACCGCCGAACGTCGCATGCGCATACCGCGATCCTTGACTTTCTCGTCCAAGAGTGCGGCCTGGTCGGCTTCTCGGAGGAGTCATTTGCGATTGCGGCGGCGTATGGGGACATGCGGTTTCTCCGGGCGTGCCATGCGAACGGCGTCGTCTGCACCACCAAGACGATGGACGCGGCCGCGCGCAGCGGCAAGCTCGAGGTGCTCGAGTTTCTGCACGCGTACCGCAAGGAGTGCTGCTCGGATGCGGCGTTCACGCGCGCGGCGGCGCAGGGGGAGCTCTCGACAGTGCAGTTTCTGCACACGCACTACCCCAACGTCGGGAACCTCGTCAACGCCATGACTGCCGCGGCGCGGCGAGGGCGCCTCGAGGTTGTCGAGTGGCTGCATACGCTCGTGCCGATCGGAACGGCGGGCTCCAAGCCCATGGACGCTGCGGTGCGTCACGGGCACTTGAAGGTCGTACAGTTTCTGCAGTCGCACCGCCCGAGTGAAGGCCTCTCGCTGCGCGCGTTTGAAGCTGCGCTCTGCATGATGCACGAAGATCTCTACCTCTTCTTGATGGGAACGCGACCTGACTTTGCGACGCCCGCGACGCTCGACTGTGTTGCGCGCCACGGTCGAGACGAGCTGATTTGGGACCTCTACGCCCGCGGCGTCCGCAGTCCCAACACCATGGCCTGGGCGGCGTGCTGGGGCAGAATCGAGTGGATGCGCAAGCTCCATGACGTGTACGACGAGGCATACACGGACGCGGCGACGGATCGCGCCGCGAGCCGAGGTCACACCGACGTCGTCGACTTCCTCCTCGAGGAGGCGGGCGTCGACTTTACGTACCAAGGCATCTACTTGGCGGCGTACTACGATGAGGCGGCGGCTCTTGCGCATCTTGCCGCACTCGACACGTCGAAGCGCAGGTGCCATCTCGCGATTGCACGCGCCATGTACGACCATGATAATTACAGGGCCAGGGCGATTCTCGCCGCCGCGGGCCTAGATGGCGACGTCTGGTATATCAGGGACAAGTACACAAGCTTGATTGACCCCGCACGCGAGGACTTGCTCGTTGAACGCGAAGACGACGCCTCGGACACCGATGCCGACGACTAAAACAAAAACGATTCGAGCACTTGGTTTTTAAGTCTTGCTTCGCACCGCTGTCGAGTCGAGGAGCTCGACAGCACTATACATTATTGCGCACACTACAAGTGTAGCAAGATCTGCTTTGACTCATGTGCTGAATCAAATGGAAAGTGATCTGCAATCGCATTGGCCAAACACGAAAAAGCGATGGGATGCCCACAGGTAGCGGCGTCCATGGACAAAGCTATCGTTCTTAAAGATGGATACAGTCAGTTCTCAGTTCTTGGATCCAACCAAGAGAGCAGAGACGGCAGACTGCCGTGCAGAAGGCAACACGATCTTGCATTCATAATGCACTCGGTGCTGGAGTCGCTCATAGCTGCAGGACCCACCCGTGTGATACACCTGGGTCATACTATGAACCTGGTCATGAACACACTCTGGGCAAACCGTTTCACATGCGGTTTCATCGAGAAAGGGTGCCAGCCCACTTTGCTGCTTGAAGCTGGTCGTCCGAAGTACGCGGTCGTACTTGGTATAACAAGTTGCAGAAAACGAGGTACACTCCCACGCTCGATATGGTTCGTGCATCCGACGACCTAAAGGCAGCGAAAAGGAGCGCGATCTGCTGTTTCCACCACGGTCGAGCAGGAAGTGGTGTAGCCATACTATTGGATGCTGGGTGTCAACGTCGCACTGTCGACCGACACGCTCATGCCGTGGGCCTTCTGCGGCCCCGCGTCGTACGGCTGATTCTCGTCGCCAAGGGCTTGGCCGGGTCGACGCCGAGGCAGATCCCGCGTCCACGCCTCGGATTGGTTGGCGCTTTATCCGGTCGACCAATGGCATCGCGCCATTCCATAAAGTACACGCATTTCCACGAATCACAGACGCCCCAGCCCGAGTTGTGTGTTTTCCGTCCATAGGCATTACTGCAGACCATTACTCGCGAATAAAATACATCGACACTGACCATTTGTATTGCCATTAAAAAATGTCGCGGTCATTTCGCGTTGCACACTACAGTCGCGCAACATTGGCACAAGCGGCGAAGGATGCAGCCGCGCATGTCCGTTGCCAGCCGCCCGCCCAAGAGGTTCCATGCGATGCGCGGAGTCTTCGGCGCCTACTACCAGGACGCCGACGCGCTCGTCAAGCCGCGCGAGTCCAGCCGCGCCTCGGCGCGCGAGTCCAGCCGCGTCGTCGCGCGCGGTGGCATTCCCCGGCACACGCAGCCCAGCTACGGCGACCACCCGCTCGCCTTCTTCGCATCCGAGCCGCCGCCGCACTTTGCCACGCTCGAGCACGCGGATCCCGTCCTCCGCGTACACCTCCAAACGATCGAGACGAGCATTTGCACGATCCAGGAGATCCGAAATGACCTCGCCCCTTATTTATAACATACCCCAACAACAACACGTGCTTTGTACCCCGTCCATATTGAAGCCGATTCCGCTTACGACGGCAAGACGAGCTCGCCCTTGGAGGCCTTGAGGAGCTTCTCGAAGAGCGCCGGCTCGTCGCGGAGGCCGCTGTGCTGGTACTCGTTCGTGACGAAGACAGCAATGTTGTCGCCGAGGAGGCGCGCGGTCGCGAGCGAGAGGTCGCGGTCGACAAAGACATCGTCGTACGCAATGAGCGCCGCGCCGGGAATCTCCGTGTCCTTGAGCGCATCGAGGTCGTAGAGCGGGCGCCAACTCGACGTCGCCGCGAGCTTCTCGGCCGCGGCTTGGAAGACGCGCAGCCCAGCGTAGTCTTCGGCCATCCACGGAAACACCATTTCACCGGAAAAGTAGAGCGGGTCCATGTCGGTCGTAATCGTGCCAAAGCGGTCCCAGTGGAAGCGCTTGTCGCCGGCTGCGTGGACGCGCTGCGCCGCCCAGTTGGACGCAACCTTGGGGCCGTCGCAGTAGATGGCTTCGTGCAGCACAAAGTAGAGCGGGTTGGTGTCAAAGCCGGCCTGGAGGCGCTCGACGCCGGCGAGGAAGGTGGACGAGAGCTCGTCTTCGTTGAGCCACGCGCCTTCGAGGAGGTAATGCACCGTCTCCATGCCGCCCGCAAAACCAAACTGCGCGCCGAGCGTCGCGAACCGGCGCGCCGTGAGAACGCCACCGCCGGGCAGCGCCGCCGGGTGGTGCTTGAGGTGGTGCGCGATCTTGGCCACGCGCCACGTGTCTTCCGGGTACCGCGCGTAGAAGCGGCGGTTGCGCTCGACCATCTTGGCGTACGTGGCTTCGTACACGCTGTCGGCGGACGCCCCGACAGGCGCGAGGCCGACCGTGAAGAGGACGCGGTCCAGCGACCCCGGAAAGAACGAGAGGTACGAGAGGATGCAGAAGCCGCCAAACGACTGCCCGAGCAGCGTCAAGTTCAAGTCCGGAAACACACTCGACCGAAAGAGCTCGGCGTCGTGCACGATCGCGTCGGCGCGGAAGTGGCGCAAGTAGGCGGCGAGCGCGTCCGGATCTTTAAAGTCACGGACCGACTGCGCCGTGATGGGCGTCGAGAGGCCCGTGCCGCGCTGGTCGAGGAGGAGCACACGGTAGTCCTCGAGGGCCTTCTTGAGCCAGCCAGACGGCGGCGCGCCCGGGCGTGGCGACGGAAAGCCCGGGCCGCCCTGGAGGTACAAGAGCAGCGGCAAGTGGTCGTTCGCGAGGTGCTTGTCGGCGACGACTTCGCGCACGTAGACCTCGATGGTCTCGTGGTTGCCAGCGTCAAAGTGGTCGAGCGGCACGGTGATGCGGTGGTCGCGGCTGTGGACGCCGCCCGGGAGCTTGGCCAGCGCCGAGGAATGCACGGTCGCCATCTTGAAATCGAAAATGAACCAGGCAGCGCCGAGCGGATAAACGCACCCAACTGTGCACCTGGCCGAAGCGGGCGGAAGCTCGGAGACGCCGACCAGGCGCGCAACTGCGGCATCAGATACGGTCACACCGTGGCACGCGCGCCTGAAAAGACGCAACCGCACCGCTGATAGGGCGGTCGGCGAGCGCGATCGGCTGCAGAAGCCTCGGACGCCGTCGGTGGTGCGTGGCTATGCACGACGAACCGACCTTGAAGCTGCCAACGGCTGGTGTCTTGGCCCATCCTCTGTCGCGAAGAAGGCGGCAAGGGGCACTGTACACGATCGCAATCGAGCCACAACGCACAGAGTGCGACGATGACCATCTGGGACGGTTTCCTCACCGACACATGTGTTGTGGACACGCCATGGCGGCGACGAGGGCGACGCCATGCGCTTGGAAGAAGGCAAGCTTTTGCGGGCGCCGAAGGAGCTCGTAGGTCGTCGATGGTGAGGAGAGCGATCGCTTGCTGAAGACGCACTGGAAAGCCTTGGCGGCCGCAAGCTGTTGCTGGCGTATTGATAGGGAGTCGATCTTCCGCTTCGGCACGTGCGAGGATAGTACATACGTACCGGTATACATACCGGTACTCTTGTGCCGGTTGATTGTACGCTAGCTAGCTACGCCTTGCAAGGTGGAGTTGCTCGAGACGAGCGAGGCAGTCTCCGTCGCAGTGTCCAACCAAGAGCCGCGTACACAAGTCGCTGTAAAATGTAGTACGTTATTAATTGCAATAAAATAAGAGACAATCTTGTCGTCTCATAAACACTCTACGGCGACGAGAGCACCTTGTCGAGGTACCCGCCTTCGGTGCAGAGCTCGTAAAAGATGCCGGTGCCGTCGTCAATCAACTGCTGCGGCGTGTCGCACTGCACGAGCCGGCCTTGGTCAAACACGAGGATGCGGTCGCAGTCCAAGACCGTGTCGAGACGATGTGCGATCGTGAGGACGGTCGAGGCCGCAAACGCGGTCCGGATCACGCGCTGGAGGTTCTGGTCCGTCTCGTGGTCGATCGCAGCCGTCGCTTCGTCCATGACCACGATGCGCGCCTGCCGAAGCAGCGCCCGCGCCATGCACAGCATTTGCCGCTCGCCGACGCTAAAGTTCTCGCCGTTCTCTTCGACGTGGCTCTCGAGCTGGCCGTCGACCGACGCGATGCGCGACTGGAGCATGACTTTGGTGAGCGCGTCCCAGAGCTGGTCGTCGCCATAGTCGCTGAACGGATCCAAGTAGTTGCGCAGCGTGCCCTTGAAGAGCACGGGGTTTTGCGGAATGATCGCGATCGCACTCCGCAGAGTCTTGACGCCGACCGACTTGATGTCGACGCCGTCGATCGAGATGGAGCCGGACGCGAGCTCGTTGATGCGGAAGAGCGCCATGGTCAGACTCGACTTGCCGGCGCCCGTGCGCCCGACGATGCCAATCTTCTCGCCCGACGCAATGTCGACGTTGACGTCCTTGAGCACGAGCGCATCGTGCTCCTTGTAGCGGAAGCTCATGTTGCGAAACGTGATATGGCCCGTCGTCGGCCAGTCGTGGGCCGTCGCTCCGTGGATCACACGGGGCGCCTCCGGTGCAATCGCCGCGTACTCGGAGAGACGCTCGGGGCCGACCATGGCCGTCTCAATCTGCGACCACGAGGTCACAATCCACTCGAAGAACGGGAGCACGGCAAACGTGTAGTTGAGCACGAGGCCGATCAAGCCCGGGCTCAGCACCGAGCGCGCCCACACGAGCGACACGAACGTGACGAGGAGGAGCAGCGCCGACGTGAGCTGAATACGCAGCGAGAACCACTGCGTGATGACCTGGCCCGCGACGACGGCCTCCAAGTTGGTGTCGACGTTGCGGTGATGGAGGCGCTGGAAGCGGCGCACTTGCTTTTGGCCGAACGCGCGAATGACGAGCGCGCCGTCAATGGTTTCGGCAATCAAACTCAGCAGTGGGGACCGCGTGACCTTGTTGACGCGCTCAACCTCGCGGGCGGGGTGGATGTACTCTCTCCCCGTTGCAAAGTAGAGGTACACGATGGGCACAAGGACGAGCCCGAGGCTGCGCACGGCCACAATCGTCGTCAAGAGGCAGAAGATCGCCATAAAGACCATGGCCAAAAACGAGTTGAGCGTCATCGGGATCGACGTATCCACCGTCGCGAGGTCGCTGCTGTATCGGTTCAAGATGCGGCCGACCGGGTTCGCATCGAAAAAGGCCATGGGCGCGCGTAAGAGCGAGGCGGTCATCTTCTCAAAGAGCAGTCGGGACGCCTTCAGTCCCGAGAGCAAGATCGAGGCCGTGCGGAGGATTGTAAAGAACACGCCGCCGAGCGACAGCAGCGAGAAGATCGCCAAGTGGTACGGCCCGTGCGCAATGTACTCAGGGTCCGCCATCCATTTCGTGAGCCAAAAGTCGCCCGCGATCGAGAGAACCTGCCACGACGAGATGACAAGCGCCCAAAAGACGAGCATTGGGTAGCCCCCGATCGCATCGAGGTACGCGGAGAAGATATGCGACGAGACGCGGCCGGCGCGGCGCTCCTCCTGGAACACGAGCGTCCCGGACATGGTCGTCTCGTCGTATGTCTCGAGGCTCGTGTCGTCGAACGGCGTGCAAAAGAGGTTGTCGCAGCCCGGTGACATGACATTCGGTGACACAAAGGACGGCTGCGTCGCCGTGTGGCGACACGCAAACACGTCTTCGTCCGTAAACTCGCCGCTGCCAGCAAACCCAACGCGCGCCTTCAGTGGCGAGATAAGGAGTGGCGCGTCTAGCTTCTCGACGTCGGTGACCAGCAATTTGCCTTGCTTGAGCTCGATCGACCGGTCAATGTACGAGGACGCAATGATCTCGGGCGAGTGCGTCACAAGCACGATCGTCTTGTGCCGGAGGAGACCGAGAAAGCACTTGGTGAAAATCTCGTTCGACACGATCGCGTCGACGGCGGACAAGGGCGAGTCCAAAAGAAAAATGTCGGCGTCGCTGTAGCACGCGCGAGCGAGCGAGATGCGCGCCTTCTGCCC